ATCTGGCTTGGTGGTCCAGGTTCAGTCTTGGTGAGCTGTTGGCAGGAACACCTCTAGCTGGGATGCCACTCTGCTGCTGCCCCAGGGCAGTTGGTGTTGGCCCGCCAGCCACCCCACCCCCTCAGCTGACTGCTCGGCTGCATGCCGCTCTAGGGCCAGGCCACTTCTCCTGATGTCCCTACAGTCCCAGCTCGCACGCCTGACCACTCTGCATGGCACTCCAGGGCCAGGTTCACTTCCCGTGGGCCAACCACATCTCTAGCACTCCCACTGTGGCCATTCAAGAGGCACAGGCCGGCTCGGCCAGTGAGCCCTGACTCTCCAGCCCATCTACCTGGATGCTCACAGGCTGTTCCATGGCCAGTTATGCTCAGGCAGACACTCCACACCACAGCATGGCATCCCACACCCTGCTGTCCGAATGTCCCTTCACAGCCACACAGGCTCCGGTGGCACCTCCTACACACAGGCCACATGCCAGCTGATCTAGGGCCAGTAAAGCTCAGCTGCCCGGCACCAGGGACTCGGGTGCACCCATTCCATTGCCCTTTACACTGCTCCAGGGCCAGGCGGCTCAGCAAGTGACCTCTCCCTCACATGGCCGATTGCAAACCAGACTCTCTGGGGACAGTCCCATTCTCCTGGGTCTCTGGGGCCCCAGACAGTATACCCTGGTGCCTTGCCTGCCACTCACTCCAGGGTCAACCTTGATTGGCAAGCACCAGACATGCCTCTAGCCTGCCAGTTCCACCACCCTGCCACTGCTCAAGGGATAGCTGACTTTGGCAATCAACCCAGTTCCCTCAGCAAGCCACTTGCTGTGTGTGCCACTCTAGGGCTGGGCCCATTCTACTGACAACCCTGAGGCCCCAGCCAGCATGAACCTCCAATCCCCCAGCATCTCAGGGCCAGGCTAATGGGGCCCTGGGCCCTCAGTGCCTCTAGCACTCCTGGCGTGGCCACTGCAGCAGGCACAGCTCCCTCAGCAGGTGACCCCTATGTCCTCTAGCTCACCCATCCAGCTGCCTCACCAGCAGCTCAAGGCCCAGGTGGCCTCAGCCAGTGCCTTCCACACTCCTGAGCCCTACAATACCCCCATTCTCCCACCCAGCCTGTTCTGCAGGGCCATTCAGGTTCAGCCCGCACCCCCACCTCCCGCAATCCACTCCAGGGTCAGGCCAAGTCACTGACACCCCTTGCTTTCCAAGCCTGACTGCAAGACACTCCAGGACCAGGAGGGTTTAGCTGGCCCCACACACTTCTAGTCAGCACACAACACTCTGACTGCTGTTCCTGGACCAGGTAGGCTCAGCTCATGCCCCACGATGCTGCCCTATCAGTTACTCCAGGAACAGGTAGACTCAGCCTCTGCCCCACTCCCTTAGAAGGTTGCACAGCAGCCAGCTGCTATAAGGCAAGGCATGCTGTTACGGCAACCCTGAGGCACCAGCCTACAGGACCTGAATCCTCTGCTCCACAGCATTCCTGACCCTCCTCCTCACTGCCCCATCTGATGTTAAAGGGCCAAAACAGTTCTGGAAGGGCCTCCCACTATCTCAGCTAGCCTACCCCTCTCTCCAGTGCCACTAGGGTTGGGCTTGGTGTCACATGTGCCTCAGCCCACCTGACCCATCCCTGCTGCTTCAGGAAAAGGTGTGCTCCTCCAGGGCCCACAGCCGCCCGTGACTCTGCCTGCTCCAGGACCATGCCAGCTCAGCCAGCACCAATCACATCCAGCACACCCTTCCTGTTGACGAGCCAGGTGCATTTGAAGGCAACCTGTGGCACCAGCCCACATGAACTGAGTTCTCCAGCCCAGAGCATGCCCACCCAGATGCCCTGCCTGCTGTCCCAGTGCCAGAATGACTCAGGTGTGGCCTTCATACCCTCAGCCTGTCTACCAGCCACTCCATGCCAAGCCAGGCTCCAATATGTCCATGCCCATAGATGCCCACCATCTACCACCTGCTCCAAAGCCATGCCTGCTTAGCAAGTGTGCCTGCACATCCAACATGCCCACCCCATCAGCCCACACGCTGCTGCAGGGCCATACCAGCTGGGCGCTGTTTACCACAACATGGCCAGTTGGGCTCAGCCAGCACCCCATGCATCATTAAAACAGACACCCCAGTCCCACACACTGCTCTAGGCCCAGGCCAGCTCTGCCAACAACTTCCACGCACAAAGCAGGCCCGCCAGCCATCGCACTGGTCACTCCAGTGACAGGTTCTATTTGCCATCACCAGGCCCTCCCCTGAATTAGCAGCCTTGCCATCCCATGCAGTGCTCCAGAACCAGTGGGGCTCAGCCAGCAATCCTACTCCCTCAGCAGACCACTCAGCTGCCTGCTATTTAGAGCCAGCCCATTCTGCCAGGGACCCTGTGGCCCCAGTTGGCACACCCTGTCACTCAGCTTGACACTCCAGGGCCAGGCTCACGAACACTGGGCCCTCTGTGCCTCTAGGACACTAAACTGCTCCACACCAACTACTTTAGGACCAGATCCCTGCACTTCTAACCCACAGGCTGCTCCGAGCCCAGGCAAGCACAGCTGGTATGTCTAATGTTCCTAGATCCTGCCTGCCTGGCTGCCCTGCAGGGTGCTCCAGGACAAGGCAGGCTCAGAAGGTTCTACCCACCCTCTGGTACCCCAACCCTGCCCACCGTCCACTCTGGAGCCAGGCCTGCTGGCTGACACCCCTCCAGGTCCCAGCCTGCCACCTGGTCTCTAGCCCACCCGCGCCACTGCCCCACCAACTGTTCCAGGTACACACAGACTCAGCCACCCACCTGCTCCCTCAGTAGGCTGCTTGGCTGCCCACTGATCTAGGGCCCATATGACAGCAATCTGTTGCACCAGCCCCTAGGATCTGAATCCCCCGGCCCAGAGCATGCCCACCTCACTGCCATGCTTACCTGTTTCAGGAATGTAAAAAAATGATTCATGTGTGACCTCCCACATTTCCAGCCCGCCTACCAGCCCCTCTACGGTCAGCCGAACTTGGCCGACGCCTCATGCACCTCAAGCCGCTGGCCCCTGCTGCTCTTGGGGAAGGCATGCTTTTCCATCAGCAACCCTCCCCACCACACCCCTTGCCTACAGATACCTGCCATCCACTCCAGGGCCATACCAGCTGGCTAGCACCCAGCCACATCCAGCATGCCCACCCTGCCACCATGCCCACCCTGCCACCCCACTTGTTGCTGCAGAGCCACGCCGGCTAGGGCAGCATCCATCACATCCCCAGCCCACCTGTTCATTGCAACACCTCAAGGCCAGCTCCGCTGAAGCCTGCCCACACAAAGCAGGTTTGCGTACTGTCCCATTTGCTGCTGCAAGGCCAGGTCCTGCTGCCCTTCACTAGGCATGAACCCTAGCCTGCCAGCACCACAGCTCATCTGCTGCTCCAGGGCAGGATGGGATCGCCCAGTGGCCATGCTCCCTCAGCAGGCAGCACTACCACCTGCTGCTCTAGCACCTGGCCCGTTTTGTCAAGACACTCTGGGCCCCAGGCTGGCATGCTCTGTCATTCCTCCTGGCACTTCAGGACCAGGCTCACTCCCCCAGGGACTGCCATGCTTCTAATATTCTAGGCAGCCAGGCACAGGACAACTGGACTGGAAACCCCTATGCCTTTAGCCTACCCACCCAGTTGTGCCATGAGCTGCTCCAAGACCAGGTGGGCTCTGCCAATACTTGCCAAGTTCCTAATGTCCACCTGTCCCACCACCACTCCCAGCTGCTTGAGGACCATTCCACGCTGGCCGGTGCATCTGCCACCCTCCATCCACCCCAGGGCCAGGCTGGCCCATAGAACACCCCTCTCTTTCCCAGCTTGCCTCTAAGTTGCTATAGGGCCAGGCAGGCTCAGCTGTTGCCCACCATGACTCTAGCTCACCCATGCCACTCTCCCACCCACTGCTCCAGGACTTGCAGAAAGTTCACCTAGCTCCAGGGCCAGGGGTGCTCGGCCAGAGAGCCCAGCACCCAAGCCATCTGCTGGCTGCTCCAGAGCCAGGCCCAGGATGTCAGATCACCCTGTGTCCCAAGCCCACCCACTACCTGCTTCATTGCCAAGCTGGCTCCACTGACACCCCTGCACCCACAGCACTATCATTGTTCAGTTCATGGCCAGCCCGACTCTCCCGGGCCCCCTCCCCACTGCACTCCTACCCTGTCCACCCTGCCACCCTGCCAGCTGCTCCAGGATCGGGTGGGCTAGCCCAGTGACCCAGCATCTTCAGCAGGCCACTCACTGACCTGCCCTTCCAGCACCAGGACCACTTGTCCTGTGTCCACTGCATACCTTGCACATCCATTCCACAGCACCTTTCCCACTCCGGGGACAGGCCAGTTCAGTCGGTGACCCCCTTGCCCACAGTACAATAACCCTTGTCCCCAGGACCAGGCTCCCAAGCCCAGGCAAGCCAGCTCATCTAGCCAGCTTGCCCTGCCACCACACACACTGTTCCAGGGCTGGGCTGGCTGGCTCTGGTAGTACCTCCTGAGTCCCAGCTGGCCTGCCAACCATTAGTGCCAGGCAGGCTCAGCCAGTGCCCACAGTCACCACCTGGCAGCTGGCTGCTCCAGGACCACATTGACTGGGCTGGTACATCCAGCTCGTAGGCCTTCCATAGCCAGGCTGGCTGTGCCTGTGCCTCCTGGGCCCACAGCCTTATCACCATCCTCTCCAGAGCCAGTTTGCCAGCCTCCTCATACCCAAACCATCTTGCCTGCCACTCCAGGTCCAGGAGGGCTCCGCCAGTTCCCCCAGCACCCACAGACGCTGGCTGCCCATGGCTCCATCTTCCAAGGCTTGGTCTTGCTCCCCTCCCTGCAGTGCAGCACTTAAGTGTTCCAGAGTTGCTTCCTGCTTCTTCTGGATTGGGCTGCAGTCTTCATACGGCAAAACTAGGACTTGAGATAATATGATGGTTCTTCATAGAGTCATCAAAAGATGCTGTTACTTGGAAGTGTAACTGTGTCAGAGCTTCATCTGTTCACATTCCATCCTTCTGACTCCGGCAACTCTGGCTTGAAAATCCTATGCTTTTCCTACATGTCTGTGCTGCATCTCTTGCAAGACTGTGCGTTTCTCTTCAGCCTGGGCTCTAAGGGGGCATGAAGGAGAGTGGTACGTGACAGAGTGCCACTTCAGGTTCCACGTGCAGAGAGGCATCCCTGGAAAAGAGTTATTTGACAAGTGAGCAGATAACATTACATAAGAAGGCAAAGTGTGGCATCTCTATGTCCAAACCAAAGATGGACTCCCAATCAAACTTTTGGCCATATCTGGACAATGGTATGCTGAATTGTCTGACATTGTATGTACCGGCGATGTTGGGACACACTTCACTAACAGACTAAGGGACTTATGACTGCTAATGAAGGGCTATCCTATTGTAATAAAATGAGGAAAATCAGTCAGCGGGTAGGAATTTGAGGAGGGGGAAGGGAAATCCCAGACCCTACAGAATTGTACTATGAAACTTAAAATTTTTTAAAAAGCCCAACTCTTACTTATATGCCAAATGATTTTAACAATGTTAAATGTCTGCTTCCTAGATTAAAATGACAGCTGTATTTCTAAAAATTTCACTTTGTTAAAACACTGCAAAAATTATTTTATGTTTATATGTAAATATGCAAAAAACTGAATTGAATTTAAATTAAAATAGGAATCTCCTTGACCAACCTGAAAAGTTCTTAGGAAGAACACAAAGCTTCACTGTTTGGACTGTCCTGAGTACTAACCATCTAGCATGCAGGCCGCGGTGCAACGAATGGCAACACCTTTCACTCTCTGAACAAAGATGCCCTCACAAAACCCCAGTGAATGACCCTGACCTGTGAATGATACCACTGCATTAAACCACTACTCTCACAAGCCACTGTCACCTATGTCCAGTAAACTGTCCCCTAGATCCATAGCCAGGCTCCCATTTGATCTCATACACTTTCTGTACTTCAAGTCTTTTTATTTTTCAAGATGTATTTATTTTTATTTCAAAGCCAGATTTACAGAGAGAAGGAGAGGCAGAGAGAAAGATCTTCCATCCACTGGTTCACTCTCAGAATGACCTCAATGGCAGGAGCTGAGCTGATCTGAACCCAGCAGCCAAGAGCCTCTTCTGGGTCTCCCGTTCAGGTGCAGGGTCCCAAGGCCTTGAGCCAACCTGCTCTGCTTTCCCAGGCCACAAGCAGGGAGCTCGAAGGGAGGTGGAGCAGCCAGGATGCAAACTGGTGCCCATATGGGATCCAGATGCGTGCAAAGCAAGGACTTGAGTAGGTTACCGTGGCCAGACCAATGTTCTTCATGTCCTGTTATCTCTCACCTGGCCTTACATTTCTGTCTTGTGATTCCCATCTGCTCATTCTACACCAAAAGCAAAATGAACTTTCTATTCTGCAGAGATTATTTCTGTTCAATCAATAATTAGTGCATACAGAGTGTACACCCGGCCTGCTCTAAAACTAGATCACAGCCTCCCCCTCAATCAAGCATGAACAATTTAGTCACCCACAGCAATTTTCAGTGCTTCATTTTCCATTTTATATACTAAGTTTCTGCACAAGATATTCTTTTTTTAATGTTTATTTTCATTGGAAAGTCAGATACAGAAAGGAGGAGAGGCAGAGAAGATCTTCTGTCTGTTAATTAACTCCCCAAGCGGCTGCAACAGCCAGAGCTGCGCCAATCTGAAGCCAGGAGCAGCTTCTGGGTCTCCCACGCATGTGCAGGGTCCCAAGGCTTTGGGCTGCCTTCCACTGCTTTCTCAGGCCACAAGCAGGGAGCTGGATGGAAAGCAGGGCTGCCTGGATCAGAACCAGTGCCCATAAGGAATCCTGGTGTATGCAAGGTGAGGATTTTACTCACTAGGCTACCACACTGGGCCCAAGATATTCTTTTAACAAAATTATATACAGCATTTTTAAAAGTCTGCAAATCCATTTGCAGGGTTAAATCTAAATTATTAAAATGATCTTTATATCTAACTCTAACCAATACCATGCCATTAACAGCCCAACGTCAGGCTGGTGCCATAGCCTAGCGGCTAAAATCCTCATCTTGTACACGCTGGGATCCCGCACAGGTGCTGGTTCTAATCCCAGCAGCCCTGCTTTCCACCCAGCTCCCAGCTTGTGAACTGGGAAAGCAGTTGAGGACGGCCTAAAATCTTGGGATACTGTACCCATGTGGGAGACCCGGAAGAAGCTCCTGCCTACTGGCTTCGGATGAGTACAGCTCCAGCTGTTGCAGCTGCTTGGGGAATGAATCAGTGGATGGAAGACTTTCCTGTCTCTCTTCCTCTCTGTATATCTGACTTTACAAAAAATAAATCTTAAAAAATAAAAACAGACTAATGTATTTATCCATCTTCTTCCATCCATCTTCCAAGTAAACTCCAGAACTAGCTGACATTCCCTCTTACCTCTGGCAAGTCGCCACTCAAGCTGCCAGCTCCTCCTGATAAACCCCCTCAGCAACAACTCCCTTTCCCAAGTCTATCCACCTGTCAGTTGGCACCCAGCACTCTTAGCTCTGCTGAACCCAGACACCTTCTCGGACTCCCACCCCTCTGACAGGATTAACTGTTTCTGCCACTGTAGACATTAACGGGAGATGTGCTGAGTTCAAAGACTTACACAGAGAGGGAGAAGCAGAGTTGGTTCACTCCCCATTACTTCATCTAGGTCTCCCACAGGGCAGAAGGGGCCCAGGTCCTCAGGCTATCTCACCAGTAGCAAGGAGCTGGATCAGACGTGGACTTATGGGAGGTGAATGGGCACCATGTGGACTGCCAACATCACGGCCACATCTGTACCTGCTAGGTCACAATGCCAGCTTCTTCCTTCCAATTGTAGTTCCATAAAATAAAACACTCACAATAAAAAGTGCTTGGATACTTGGAGTGCAAATTTTCACAAAGCAGAATACTCATACTTGGAAAAATACAAGCAGTATTCAGAGAAATAAATGTTTCAGGCACTGGTTTTGTGATGTAGCAGGTAAAACTGCAGCCCACAGATACTGGTTTGAATTCCAGCTTTTTGATTCAACTTCCTGCCAATGCACCTGGGAAAACAGAAGGATGTGCCCACGTCCTTGGGTCCCAGCATCCGAGTGGAAGACAGGAAATTCCTGGCTCCTGCCTTCAGCCTTGTCACTGCAGCCACTTGGGGCATGAACCAGCAGCCGGAAGACCTCTCTAGCTCTGCCTTTCAGATAAATCAAGTAAATCTTAGGGGAAAAAGAAATAAAAAACCTCTAAATAAATAAAAAAAAATTGTCCCACAGATAGGCCGACTTAAGATGGCACTATGCCCTAAGCCAATCTACAAATTCAAAAACAATTTCTATAAAAGTCCCCATTTGTAGAGATCAACACTCTGATCTTAAAGCTACCCATGATATGGTCTAGGCAGACAGCCTGTTGAGGGTCAGTTGAAGCTGCACATCCCCCACCTGCATAATACCATTTGCCCCCTTGAGCGTCTCAGCCTCTCATATACCCACTGCTCTCTCACTTCACACGGACAAACCCCGAGAAGCAATCTCTCCCTGACCTTTCACGTTCTGGCTCACTCACCCTGAACATGACACTCATTTGTCTGTGTTCCTCACCATCTGAATAAACGTTACCACTTGTCCAAGCCGTGTTGGTACCTGTGCTTAAAATGCTTTTAAAGTAAGGGGCAAGAACTTAGAAAATAAATATTTGGCAGAAACCTAGACCACAACATCCAGAATAGCCCCTCCCACATTCTGAAAAACAGCAACACAGGAGAAGAATTCACAATTCTCCATTTCAAAACTCACTCACAGCAATGTGACTCAGACTGTGCAGTACTGGCACAAGGAGAGACAAGAACATGAGCAGAGCAGGATTCAGAATCTAGACATGATGCCACAAAGCTAAAGTCAAATGATTTTTGATCGGGTTGGTATGGTGACACAATGGGTTACGCATGCGAGCATTCCCATATAGTGCCAGTTTGAGTTTGAGTCTCCACTGCTCAACTTCAAAACAACAGAAGATGGCCCATGTTCTTGAAGCACTGCACCCACATGGGAAACCTGGCTCCTGGCTTCAGCCAGGCCCTGACATGGCGGCTGTGGCCATTTGAGGAGTGAATCAGAGAATGGAAGACCTCTCTCAGTCTCTCCCCATCTTTCTTGGAATTCATTAAAATAAATCCTTTTTTAAAAATGATTTCTAACAAGGTGTTACTAGATTGTTCAGGGGAACAAAAATTCTCCAACATTGTTTCTGTGACAATTATATCACCATCTGTGGTAAAAATAATGTTGGCTCTTTACGTCAAACTAAAAGCAAAAAGTAATGCAACATGAACAAAGACCAAAACATACACTAGGTATTATAAAAGTGTTAGAAGCAAGTATAGCAGCATACCTTCATAAGTACTCTTTTTTTTTAAGATTTACTTATTTTTATTGGAAACAGATTTACAGAGAGAAGAGACAGAGAAAGATCTTCCACCTGTTGGTTCACTCCCCAAAGAGCTGCAGTGGCCAGAACCTAGCCAAGCCAGGGGCTTCTTCCCGGTCTCCACAAGGGTCCAGGGGCCCAAGGCTTTAGACAGTCCTCTACTGCTAGAGCTGGACGGGAAGTGGAGCAGCCAGGATAAGAACCAATGACCACACGGGATCCTGGTGCATGCAAGGTGAGTACTTCAGCCACGAGGCTACCGCACCAGACAGTTTTCTAAGAAAAATATACAAATGGCCAATAAGCACAAGAAAAGATGCTCAGTATTAACAGTCATCAGGGAAGTGTAAACCAAGATCACATTCAGATGCCACTAACTCCTTAGGACAGCTGCAATCAGAAAGACGGACAGCAAGTGTCAGCAGGGAAGGAGACAAACTGGAGCCTCATTTACTGCTGGAAGGAACGAATGGAAAAACGCTGTGGTCACTTTTAGAAATGGGCATTTCCTTAAATAATCAGATACAATGACTATATGCTCCAGTAATTCCACTCTGATAACAGGTTCACAAAAACACAGGGCTGGGGCCACAGCATGTTAGGCTAAGCTTCCACCTGCAGTGCTGGCATCTCGTTGGGTTGCCAGTTCCAGTCTTGGCTGGTCCACATTTACTAAGCCAGCTCCCTGCTGTGGCCTGGGAAAGCAGCAAAAAATGGTCCAAAGCCTGG